CTTAGAACATCGCGCGAGCCCCATGTTTGCATCCCTGGCCAGTTGCGGCCTTGAGAGTTAGAACATTGGGGGGGGATGTATGGACATTGGCGGGCAGCAAAGTTTAACCATATTACATGCAATTCAATAGCTGGAAGCTACAGCCTTGCCCAAAACGAGAAGTCTTCCTGCGGTCCTTAGCCCCAAGCCTACAACTCTGGGCCTCATTCCCTAAAACAGGGAAGAACACATGCTTTTTGAAGAATGACTTTTACCTTAAGGCGCGGGGGTTTCAGTTGCATCTGTGTTGTTTAGAGGTCAGCTTTCTATTCCTTTCTGGAGCGGCAGCATTCATGGGGAGGCTAAAGGTTGGCTTCCTGTTCCTCGTGCGGCAGCACTCATTCTATTCTCACGCCCCCCCCCCCCCCTCGCGGTAAGCTAGAAACCATTCTTCAAACAGCATGTTTTTTCCAGTTTCAATTCACTGGGCCCACAGTTAGAACGTCGGCAGATGCACGATTGCACCCTAAACAAACCCCCCTCCATGTGTTTCAACCCTTTTACTATTGAAAGCTGCCGAATTCCAATCCGGACGCTTCCCAGTTCCCCCCCGCTTCTTGGTGAGATTAAAAAAAGTGCTGACGCACTAGAAAGGAATAGGAAGCTGACTTCGGGTTTGTTCAGCGTTGAGAGTTGAAGGCTAGAACACACGGAGGGGGGCTGTTTGGGGTTCAAGCGGACAAGCGTGCATCTGCCGATATTCTAACTGTGGGCCCCGCTAATGGAAGCAAGAAGACACCACATGCCTTCTGAAGAATTGTGTTTAGCTTGAGGCGCGGGGATTTTAGTTGCAGCTGTGGTTTTGCCCTTAAACAGCCCCCAACCTCAAAGTTGCCGATGTCCAGGCCACTTCCCAGTTTCCCCCCCCCCCTCCGGTGAGGGTAAAATGAGTGCTGCCGCGCTAGGAAGGAAGAGCAAGCTGACCTCTAGATCTAGACAACGCAGTTGCAACTGAAATCCCTGCGCCTTAAGCTAAACAAGCGTGTATTTTCTTCCTGCTTCCATTAACGGGGCCCACAGTTAGAACGTCAGCAAATGCACGGTTGTCCGGTTTGAACCCGAAACAAACCCCCCCCCCCCACCATATGTTTCAGCCCTCAACCCTTGAAAGTTCCCGATTTCCAGGCCGCACTCCCCCGCAAAGGTTGCGTTTAAAGCCGGACAAGCGTGCATCTGCCGATGTTCTAACTGTGGGTCCCGGTAATTGAAATAGGAGGAAAACACATACAATCGGGGAAAAGCCTTTGGCGTAAGGCGTTGGGGTTTTAGTTGCAGTGTGTTGTCTAGACCTACAGGTCAGCTTCCTATTCCTTTCTAGTGCAGCAGCACTCATTTTACTCTCACCGGCGGGAAGGGGGGGCGACCTGGACATCGGCAACTTTGACTTTGGGGGCTGTTTAGGGCTAAAACCACAGCTGCAACTAAAATCCCCACGTCTCAAGCCAAACACCATTCTACAAAAGGCCTGTGTTTTCTTCTTGTTTAAATTAACGGGGCACACAGTTAGAACATCGCCAGATGCACGGTTGCCCGGGTTGAACCCTAAACAATCCCCCTCCAGATGTTGTAAGTCTCTAGCCTCAACCTTGAACAAACCCATAAGTTTCAAGCCTATTTCAACAAGAGCAGTCCGCCAATGGCGTTACCCTCTAGGCTCAACCCTACACTTACACAAACACACAAGTTTCACGGCTACAAAAACAAGAGCAGTCCGCCCATGGTTTTAGACCCCAACCTGAAACTTGCCGAGTTCCAGGCCCAACACTTCCCTGGTTCGCACCCCCCCACCCCACCCCCGGTGAGAGTAAAACGAGTGCTGCCGCACTTGAAACGAATAGGAAGCTCACCTCTAGACCTAGACAACGCAGTTGCAACTGAAACCCCCACGCCTTAAGCCAAAACTGATTTTCAGGAAGTATGTCGTATTCTTCCAATTTCAATTCACGGGACCCACAGTTAGAACATCGGCAGATGCACGGTTGTCCGGTTTGAACCCGAAACAAACCCCCCCCCACCATATGTTTCAGCCCTCAACCTTGAAAGTTCCCGATTTCCAGGCCCAACACTTCCCACGTTCCCGCCCAAACCCCACTCCCCCGCTAAGATTGCGGTTTAAAGCCGGACAAGCGTGCATCTGCCGATGTTCTAACTGTGGGCCCCGGTAATTGAAATAGGAGGAAAACACATACTTTCGGGAAAAAGCCTTTGGCGAAAGGTGTTGGGGGTTCAGTCGCACTGTGTTGTCTAGACCTACAGGTCAGCTTCCTATTCCTTTCTAGTGCAGCAGCACTCATTTTACTCTCACCGGCGGGAGGGGGGGGGAACCTGGGACATCGTCAACTTTGACGTTGGGGGCTGTTTAGGGCTTAAACCACAGCTGCAACTAAAATCCCCACGTCCCAAGCCAAACACAATTCTACAAAAGGCATGTGTTTTCTTCTTGTTTCAAATAACGGGGCACACAGTTAGAACATCGGCAGATGCACGGTTGCCCGGGTTGAACCCTAAACAATCCCCCTCCAGATGTTGTAAGTCTCTAGCCTCAACCCTGAACAAACCCAAAAGTTTCACGCCTACAAAAACAAGAGCAGTCCGCCCATGGTTTTAGACCCCAATCTGAAAGTTGCCGAGTTCCAGGCCCAACACTTCCCTGGTTCGCACCCCCCCACCCCACCCCCGGTGAGAGTAAATGCGTGCTGCCGCACTTGAAACGAATAGGAGGCTGACCTCTTGGTCTAGACAACACAGCTGCAACTGAACCCCCCACGCCTTAAGCCAAAACTGATTTTCAGGAAGTATGTCGTATTCTTCCAATTTCAATTCACGGGACCCACAGTTAGAACATCGGCAGATGCACGGTTGTCCGGTTTGAACCCGAAATGTCAGCCCTCAACCCTTGATTGTTCCCGATTTCCAGGCCCAACACTTCCCAGGTTCCCCCCCAACCCCACTCCCCCGCTAAGATCGCGGTTTAAAGCCGGACAAGCGTGCATCTGCCGATGTTCTAACTGTGGGTCCCACTAATTGAAGTAGGAAGAAAACACATACTTTCGGGAAAAAACCTTTGGCGAAAGGCGTTGGGGGTTCAGTCGCACTGTGTTGTCTAGACCTACAGGTCAGCTTCCTATTCCTTTCTAGTGCAGCAGCACTCATTTTACTCTCACCGGCGGGAGGGGGGGGGAACCTGGGACATCGTCAACTTTGACGTTGGGGGCTGTTTAGGGCTTAAACCACAGCTGCAACTAAAATCCCCACGTCTCAAGCCAAACACAATTCTACAAAAGGCATGTGTTTTCTTCTTGTTTCAATTAACGGGGCACACAGTTAGAACATCGGCAGATGCACGGTTGCCCGGGTTGAATCCTAAACAATCCCCCTCCAGGCCCGGCACTTCCCAGATTACCCCCCCCCCTGCGGTGAGAGTAAATTGAGCGCCGACGCACGAGAGAGGAATAGGAAGCTGACGTCTTACGATCAGCGCAGCTGCGACTAAAATGCCCACGCCTCAAGCTAAACACAATTCTTCAAAAGGCATGTGTTTTCTACGTCATGTTGCGAGACACCCTGAAACGCAAATCACTGCAACATAAATGCATAGTTGTTCAGCCTTGGTGAGGAAGCAAACCCCTTCAAACGCAGCATGCAACAATGGTTCGCCATTGTTGATGTTCTAACTTGGATGTTCTAAACAAAAATACCCAAACAAATGTCGCACGCTTAAATATGTTCTAACCCGGGTTCAGTTAGAACATGGATTCACCAAATGATGTTCTAACTTGAAGTCTGTCAATATAGGGCGTTTGCATTTGTAGAAATTGACTGTTTGATTTCAACGTGGTAGCGGAGCTGAGATCCGGCACATGGGGGAGCTTCCACAGCAGCAAAGCAACCACATACCACACTACTATGCAGGAGAGGAGCCAGGACGACGGGAACAGAAGAAGCGCAAGCGCAAGACAGCGAGTCCAAAGACTGCACACATACAAACTGCCACCACCATCCTTCAATGGTGGCTACTCGCACTGAGAATGGCTGTTCAGGCAAACTACTGCTCCACTGCCTCAACCTTGTTCAAGCGCTTCATCAAATGAAGCAACAACAAACGGACTACTGGCAGCAACATTCTGCCTAAGCATTTTGGACTACATCCTCTGCGCCACTCAGTTTGACTACTGAGCCTGAACAGTGCGCGCGTTTGCTTTTCACAACAGTAGCACTGGTGAACAGCACCTGCTTTCATCACTACTGCTAATCCCCGTTTTGCAGCGGTTGTAAGATGCTACAAATGCCATAACTGAGGGGCCGCGTCAAAGTACAGATTGCACTACTTGACAGTTGCGTATGTGTTACACTACCGCAGGCCTTGAGCTTTACTTCACTACAAGCGAGCTTCTGAGAAAACAGGTGTGAAGCAAACTACAGGTTTGATTGTTGTTTTTGCGTTAACAACACTACAGCACTTGCACTAGCAATTGACAGTTTGCTTTTAAGGGAAGAGAGAGGGAAAGAGAGAGGGCGAGAGAGAGAGAGAGAGACAGAGAAATAAAAAATGAGAGAGCAAGGACAAAAACAGATGTATGTCAAGCGAGTCCCTCAACCAAACTCCAGGTTCCTCAAAAAACCTTGTCCCAGGAATAGACTTGAATGTACTATTTGTTGATAGATCCGGCAAGGACTGAAGAATCTGAGTTGTCAGTGAGTAATTGTCTGCAGTCGTCAATCTTAGATCCAAGGGCATCCTCAAGCGCTAAGCCGGGAGCTGCGAACTCGCACAAACGGGGATCGGAGAATGGATGGCTCCAGAAGCGGCATTGTGTTGTTTATGTTGCTTGTGGTGTGTTATTTTCCTGCAAGAAAACATGTCGTCTGTGTCTCTGGAGCACGTCCGTGTCTGTGCAACCAATGGCCAACTGACCAAATGGGTCATAGGCTATGGGATGCGGCATAGCTGAGGTCCAGGCCATGATGAGGTGCAAAACAGCTGGGCATCCGGAGAGAATTTCCCTTGCGTCAAGGGCCTTTCGTCTCCAACCTGCACAGAAAAAAACGATGGGAGGCCGGAGAGCAACAGTGCAAAACCGCGACATCCGCAAAAATCACAAAAACTGAAGAAGAAGAAGAAGAAGAAGAAGAAGAAAAGAAGTGCCTGAGACACTTCAGCCACCATGGACTTCTGCAAAAACTGGCAGAATCTATCCACGCGCTCCTGCCAAATGGAGACGCTTGGGTGGCACAAACACTGCGGCTCAGAGTTGTTTCCTCGTGCTCCACCGGATCTTCTTCCATGCGTTGTCTGCGCTCCTTTACCTCATGCAAACCCTCACCAGCCCAGTCGCAACCGGATTCCAACTTACAGGCCTGGCCGAAGGAACTGATGAAGGCGGGTCCAAGTGCCCAGTCACTTTCAGCGAATCCCCAACTAGAAACAGAATGGCGTCGCAGCTCGCAACTCAAGCTGCATGTTCATGTCATGACATGAGGCTGAAGTTGACCCCACTGGCCACGCTCGCACAACTCAAAGGAGCAGTTGGTTGAAGTCGAATAAGTTATGTGAAGTTATGAAACTGCATTATCATTCTGGATTAACTACACTCTGATGGCATCTTCCCCTGGGTGTGCGGCCAGGCGTTGGTTGGCCCTGGGAAGCGACCTTTCATGACACAGCGAAACAGCGCATGTGATCCTCCACTGCACGAAGGAGCAGCCACGTGAGATGCATGGGATGCGAAACTAGGGTCCGGACCATTCGGCGATTTTCACGCGCGCTTCCAAAAGCTCTTCCACTCCCTCTGTATAGAATAGGTCCTTGCACAAAGAGCATCTACTCATCTGCTGATCTGCCTATCAGATTGCACAAGCGTCCTCATCTCCGGTAGACTCTTGGCGCTTTGCATCCAGAGTGGGTGCCGTTCCTAAGCGATTCCATGGCAGCACTGACTCAGGACTCAGGTCCTTGGCAAGTCCACAAATCCGTGGCAGGTAAGAGCCGGTCGGCCGGCCATGATCGTGCGCAAACGATCTCGCCTCTCATAAGGGCCTTCTCCAAATATGCAAACCTGAGAACTTTCACAAGGGCCTTGTCCAAACTGCGGGAAAGGTCAGCTTGGCTCCTGGCTGGTTCCCCAAATTCTCGCAGCTTTGCTTTGACCTGCGCATCACCTGTTGGTACTGCCATCCTCGGAAAACGGCTGTCAGAATATTGAAGGCACCAATGGCGTGATTGGGCACCGCACTCTCGTTGTGATCGTTTTTGCTCAAAGGCTCGAACTGCATCCTCATGCTGTTGCCTGCGGCATGCGATCAACTGGTTGGCTTAACGCATTGGTTCGGATCCCACGTTCTAAAGAAGTGGTTTCCTTTGCCTTGCTCGGGCGATGTCATCGGCAGCGGAGTTGACAATGTCAGCATCCGTGGGCACGTGAATGTTGGATCCCGTGAAAGCTTCACCTTTGGGGCATCTGGCGAGGAAGCTAGTTCAAAGTGCGATCCCCGATGAAGCCAGCAATTGATCCGAACATGAAATGGAGAACCGGGAATTCTGGCTTGGCTTACATGAACATACAGAAATGAATCGGTTGAGTACACAATATGAGCAACCGTGTGTTCAGATGCTAGTGCTTGCATCTGAACTATGCGTCTGGGTTTCCCGCGCTCTTCACCAGCACCCCCTAGAGCTCCTGACAAATCCCCATAATGGATGTGCTCCGCCTCAGCTCGTGCCGTCCCTCTTCGCGTCCCGCTTCTCAAGTCGAGTCTAAGGCCAACACCATGAGGTCAAAGTCGGACCATTCCTCCCTGTGATTCAGACTCTGCAAGCCAAAGCTTCAGCACAAAAGTGTAATTGGGGCTTCTAATTGGATTCATCAATTGTTTCCCAACAGTGACATTAGATGAATGTCAATCTCCTTTTGTTCAAACTGTTTGCCTTCAGCTTAGCCTCAGGAGCTAACATTCTGAGTAAATTATGAGGCAGGCCACCTTCCGGGTTTTCTTGCGTTTTTAAGGGAACAAATGAGGTTGCACTCCAAAGCCAGAGTAAGTGCTGCTCTTCAACAGGCATTGTGTACTTTGTCCTCACGGTTGATTCACCGCTTAGTTGTATGAACAGCCATTGCGTTTGAATCAACAACATAACTATGCCGCAAATCAAGCAATGACATGGCAAACACAATCCAATTACAAATATGCAGCAGCAAAAACGCATTAAAAACAGGTCCAGTGTCAAAAAGGTGGGATTCCTCGTACGCAGAAAAACGATCTAATGTCAGCTTAAATTTAATACGTAAATGGTCCTGAAAATTCTGGGCCAGCCAGGCCCGCTTTCACCCAATACCAAATTCAGCAGGGGCTAATTCAAGAGTTAATTGCACAAATACCACCCCCAAAAAATTCATTAGAAAATTCCCCAGCAGCGCCACGACCAAAATGATAGAAACCTGTTCACTGACTGAAACCTAAAACGCATATGCATTCAAAGGAAACCAAGAAACGCACACACGCTCGCTGTATTGTTCCTGGTGTTGCTCAGAGGTGCAGGCTTTGGGATGCAGATAAGCCAATATGTGTGTTCGACTCACGCCAAAAGAGCCCCAAGTTAAGGCCTGTTGCACTGCTCCTAGCTTGAACCCAAACAACCCTCCAAATCAAAGAGCCCTGCAAATCCCAAAGGCGCGCACTTCTTTTTTCACGGGTTGCTTGAAAGTGCCACTGCCTCCAGGGCACGCGGCGCACCTGGAGCAGGAGGTATCATTGTCCCCCCTGTGAAACTTAAAAGAACGCCAGACATGCGTGTCCTGGCTAATGCAGTGCACCTGCAAGGCGTGGCAAGCGTGCCCACGCCTATTTGACAGACAGCGGTCTGTGAAAGTAAGGGCAAGCGTGCCCAAGTTCGCGGTTGAAGCGCAGAGCGTCTGCAGCCTCGGAACCTGCCTTGCATAAGGCAGAGCAAGGTGGGAGGGTGGGTTTCAATTTGTCCCCCCCTAAGTGTTTCCAAGCAACATCGGAAAAAGCTGGGCCAGCTAAGCAGCCGACCATATACCCCCCCTTCAGAGCGGGGTTGTTCCTGCCAGGGTAAATTTGCACATCTCACCGGAAACTGTTTTGAGACGCATGGTATGCGTTCTCGAAAACGGTTTTTCAGCGCGCTGGGTTTGGCGCCAAACTCCGTTGATGCGGCAGCCAGGTGTTCTGGCCGCCAAGGCGCGTTAATAGGGCACAAAGTGCGGCCGCTGCAAGGCTAGCTGGGCTGAAGCGCACGCGGTCTGCAGGGCGGTTCATGAATCTTTGAAGGCGATCCCGGCTGAGGTCGTCCGCCCAGTCGTTCAGACGCCCGGGCACATGTGTGCGCTGCAAGCGCACGTTGGAAACAACTGCAAAGGCCAAGAAGTGCTGAACGCCTGCTTCGGCGGCTGTGTTGGTCCGTGCCTGAAGACAAACTGAAGGAGTAGTGACCTCCTCCTATATGCGAATGCGTGGCCTGCAGCAGGGCTAATTGTGCTAAGGTCTCAAAGCAGGCAATGTAACGCTGAGCGGGCTTAGTAAGGCAGGGCCACGCTGACCTGACTTCGTCCATAGCGTGGAAGTCACTGCCCGGACGGGGGAAAGTCCCCATCAACGCTCGTCGGCACTCCCCCAACAAGACATGAACAAAGATGTGTCAGGGTCCTGGATGACCTGGCTCAAGGCATGTAGCGCGTGCAAGCAGTAAGGCTGGTGAGCATCAATGGACAACAATGCCGCGTTGATCTGAACTTCATGTGCAAAAATAGGGCAATCATGTCCACTGGAAACGTGCGCCAGCAAACGTTTGGGGAAGCGCCGGTCCGCCAGAAAAGACAAAATCGACTTGCGCAAACCGCCAAGAGGATCAACCGCAGATATCTGCGGGGTACTCCAGTCGGGCCCCCGTCCTGAACTGCCAAGGGCCGAGCATCGACCGCTTTAGTGGGGACCACTGAAGCAAGCGTGGCAGGGTCATAATATCCAGATCCGTACTGAGTGGCGCTAGATCGAAAAGTGCGGAGACCCTAACAGCAAGAGAAGGGGGGTACTCTGCGGCCTTCTGGCTAAGGAAGCGGCCATGGTCATCCCAACTCCTCGGATGGATTGGTGGGCCATAGCCGTGGGCACACCTTGGAGTGGTTCATATGAAGAAGCAAACATCCAAGACTTCTCAAGATCCACACCGTAGTTGCAGGCCGGCGCGATACAACAGACCTGCACGAAGGAAGCCAGGAAAGATTGCTGAAAGCGGAGGGGGGCTGCTCCAAAACCGAGTGCCCACCACAATAAGAACCTGCACGCAACGCGAAAGTAGTTGCCGGCTCTGCTGTAACTGAAACTGCTGGGCGCGAGACAGATTTGGCAATCCCTGCACGTATTCAACTGTACGCAAAGCAAAGGAGCCGAACCCCCGGGAAGCAATCGCAGTCTGCCCTAGTCTTGCGCAGTGGACCTGCTGCTGCAAAAGCAACTCCGCCGAAAAAGGCAAGCCGCAAAAAGCTGTTCAAAGAAGGCATCATCTCTCAAATCATGAGTGGAATCCAAGAGAAGATCCACACTCAAAACTGGGACGCCGCGCAGGCCTCTTACAAGAAAGTAAATTTATGAAAAGCAAGCAGTGCTAATTGACTGCAGAAGTCAGTGCTGCACGAAAAGGCTCATCTGTGGCAAAATGAAAAGGCAGCGCAATATTCGATCATGATCGCAGATGTATTGCAAGACAAGCCAAAATGTCCAAGCGCAGCAAGGCCGATTCTGGGTTAGAGAAGAGCAGGGGGACCTTGCCCCGGACCGGACCGCAAGGCAACCGTCAGTGCATGGAGCCGGTAAATTCAAGCGCAACGGCTTTTGATTCGCCGTCCGCAAAAAAATCCGCCTCTTGCTGCGGCGCCCCACGGGCTGAGTCATGCATGGCCATTGCCAGGGGTGCATCCCGACTTTGTTCCCTCCGAAGGCCCGGAACTTTCCGCCTGCCCAAGTAGCCGCTCCGGAGTTTGCATTGGTCGCCGGCCCTTTTATGCAAGGGATTATGTTGGAATTTTGCACCAAGCCTAATCCCTGGCCAAGTCATGCAATGTTTTGGAGTCTGGGGGTCACCCTTTGAGCAGCAGTGTGTTTTTCACATCCATCGATGTTTTCTCGATTTGTGTGCGGGGCGAGCCGTCCTCTTTCAAAGGCGGCTTTAGCACTTGTTTTTACTTTCCCTCTGTGCCCCTTTGCTTTTTGTTCCGTTCGCTGTTGTTTGTTTGTTTGTCCCTTTTTGTGTTTCTGTTTGCTGCACAACGGCATTCTATTGCGTCTCACTGCAGGCGTGCGCTTGCGACATAACCACTTGCAAAATGCCTCGCAGCTGCGTTTCTGCAGCTTAAAAAAAACAGGGAAAAAAGGTTCCCCGACCGACGACGACCGACCGACGACGACCGACGACGACGACCGAACGACCGACCGACAACCGACCGACCGACGACAACCGACGACGACGACCGAACGACCGACGACCGACCGACGACGACCGACGACAACGACGACCGACGACGACGACCGAACGACCGACGGCCGAACGACCAACGGCCGAACCGGACGGCCGAACGACCGACCGACGACCGAGGGTTCCAAAAAAGGGTTGCCTTTGAGGGGGCTCGCAGAAACGAAGGCAGCTGCGGGGCATTTTGCCAAACCGCAGATCTAGAAGTCGTTATGTCGCAGCCACACGCCTCTAAAGACAGAGGTGCGATGTTCTATGTTCGCGCTTTCGCGCGGCGCAGTCTGCAGCTGTCGCTGCAGCTTGCTGCTGCTGCTCCGCTGCAGTTCGCTGCTGCTCGCTGCTGTCCGGGCTGTGTCAATATTGATCCAATGTTGCCCTTTAGTTGGTTGCTTCAAGATAACTCAATATTGCTTCAGTAATGGCTTGGTCTCGAAGCCTCAACACCAGCCTGGTATCGAAGCCTCGACGCCAGCCAAGTCATACGGATCGTACGACTCATACGGATCATACGGTCATACGGCTTGGCACTTGGGAGTGGTTGGGGAGCTCTGCCCAGGGGCAGGGCGACCTCGTGGCCCGGTGCTGAAGGAGCACCGCACCGTGCGCTTCCTGGCCTTCGACGGGCACTTGTACCAGGCCGTGCAGACCCTCCCGCCAATCGGAGAGTGGAGGCGCTTCGACATAGCAGACGTGCAGCCGGGGCTGTTCTGGTGCAAGGACCTGCTCGCCAGCTCATGGCTGCCGGGGAGAGCCCCAAGGTGGCCATCAGCAGCCCCGCGCAGTACTGCGGGCGCAGGCTGAGGCGGGGCACGAGGATCCGAGAGCTGCCGGAGGAGCTGCGGCGCTGGCGCGAGGCGGTGGGGCACCGGGGCAGCGCCTGGCCGGGCTGGCGCACGAGATCTTCCTGAAGCTGCTGAAGGCGAAGCGCGAGGTGTCCGAGGCGTCGTGATCCGTTGTCGTCAGTTTATGGTCGTGATCCGTCAGCTTCGCGACCTGTCAATTTCTGTCCGTTTTCGTCAGCTTCGTGTCAACAAATAGCATGAAACAATGCGCACAAGTTGCCAATCGTTTCCTCCGCACTTCTTCAAATGGTTCGGTACTGCATCTGCGCACTTAGGCACAAGGAGGAATGCCTCGGTGAAACAGCTGTTGACCAGCGCGTCGCTGGTCCTGCACCCGTTGCACGCACATTTTCTGCTCGTCTTGAACATGGCAGCCTGATGTTCAAAAGTGTGAACATTGACCTCCCTTACGCTTCAAGAGTCAAGCAAAAATGCACTGCGGCTGCACCCTTTTGTCACTGCACGAGGTGAAACGTTGTGCCCCAGCATTGCCTCAGCCG